TGAATCCCTGAATCATAATTCCAGAAGACCAAACACATTGCTCAAGAAAACACGTGGACAGGCCCTGAGACTGCAGAAAAAGAGAGAAAGAACTAGCTCAGCCCAAACTTCTGGCCACCCAGATCGATCAACCGGCATTCTAAACAAATAGCCCTCTGTGAGGTAAGGTGTTGTGGGAAACGGTAGCTGTGCCACTCTGGTTGCCCAGTAGCCAACCCTTAGCAAGTAGTGACATCTCTAACACTTCTGTTTAGAATGTGGAGATATTTGGGCCTGGCGCAGTGGCTCACACCTGTAATCCCAGCACTTTGGCAGGCCGAGGTGGGTGGATCCACAGGGTGGAAGCGGGCATGAGCAAGTTGCTCAAGAGCCCAGTTACAGAATTTTGGGGGGTTTAAACACACTCTAGAAGTTTCCACTGGTTACTTGGTGTATGCTCTATGTAAATGAAGAGGCTAAACTGAAGTTAAAAAGTTATTTACTTGGTGTATGCCCTATGTAATGAAGAGGATATTTCCTGTCATAGCTAAAGTGTTTCTTTTGATTTAGTTCTAGGAAGTCTTTAGGTTCCCTGCCTCCAGGTCCTATTCTCCTGCCTCAGGATGACAGTATCACAATGGGAAAGCCTCATCTTCTGACCAAGATGGGACCCGGCAGAACTATCTAGAAACTGCAGTACAAACCAGAAGGGCAGCATGGGCCTCCCTTCATTTTATATTTGGACTATGTATGACATAAAGGTTTTTTTACCTTCTAATTGTCTTCCTTTTATTATTTTGCTGACTATAGAGAAATACACTTTCAAGATATTAAGATGCTCTGTGTGTTTAATTACACAAGCTGGGAATGGACACCATTTTTTAAAAGATGTTCTTTACAGAGCCTCTGTCTTCCTGTTCTATTATGTGCTATTATCGCATTCTGAGCTTTCAAGGAAAGCAGTTGCAGGATGACTCCTGGCCTCAAGCGATCTTCCTGCCTCTTTCTCCCAAAGTGCTGGGATTACAAGGCATGAATCCCAAATGTAGCTGCAGGATGGTTGCAACTGATTTCCACTGAACTCCTGGTTTTTGTTTCTAAATGCTGTATCTTTTTAAGTTCTTTATTTTTTTCTCTAGTAAACATCCCTGGGTAATTTTTTAATGGAAAAAAAATGACTATTTTGAAAATATTGGAAAATGTCTTTATATTTTCCCTGTACTGGATTGATAGTTTGGCTGGGTAACAAATTCTAGGTACAGAGTCATTTTCTTTCAAAAGTTTGAAGGTATTGCTTGTGTCCTCATTATCCATATTTGTTAATGAGACATTTAACAATCACATTTTTATTTAAAATGATATATTCTTTTATTCTCTCTTCACACACTTGTGATTTTTCTCTTTGTCCTTGGAACTTTGTGACTTATTTGTGCCCTCTGACAAGCTCCCTAATGTACTTTTATTTAGTTATTTTTTTTAGAGACAGGGTCTCACTCTGTTACCCAGACTGGAGTGCAGTGTCACAATCATAGTTCACTATAACCTTGGACTCCTGGGCTCAAGCAATCCTCCCACCTTAGCCTCCCTGAGTAGCTCGGACTACAGGCACATGCCACCATGTCCAGCTAAGTTTGTTTTTTATTTTTGTAGAAACGAGGTCTCGCTATGTTGCACAGTTTGGTCTCAAATTCCTGGCCTCAAGTGACCCTCCCACCTCTGCTTCCCAAAGTGCTGAGATTACAGGAATGAAACCCAAATGTAGTATTTCTCTCATGCAAGATTGTAACTTCACCTTTCTGACATTATGACTTCGGGAATCTAACTCATGACAAAGCCCATAGTTATTTGATACTCCCATTGTCAGACACTCCATTTCTACTGTGGTAGCATTCTAGAAGCTGTTTTTCAAATGGTGAGTACCTCTCTGATACGCTAATTTGTGCTCATTCTAGATGTCTTTCCTGCATACCACTTACTAGGGCTTTCCAGAAACTCTACACATCATCCCTACCCAGCATGATTATTCCTAATTCCATTGGATATGCCTGGTCTTCTGGCCTAAGCAGTAAAGTAGCTTGCACTACAGGCTGCACCTGCTTCTGAGTCTTCTTTGAGCTCCACTCAAAATAGTCTCCCAACTTACCTAAGAAATTAGAGCAGTATTCTGAAGTAGAATATGTACTGTCACTGCAGCCCAAAGAGGCCCATTGCTACTGTGCTCTTTTTTGGGGGTGAAAAGTTTGAAGTACAATAATATTTGCTTTACCTTAAAGGGGATATCCCTGCATAGCCCAAACCACTGAGTCCCTAAAATCTTCATAAGTATGGCAGACCCCTAAATCATTGTAGGATTTATCTCCCAGGCTATGACCCAAGACCCATGGGTCTTGCCAAGGTATCCAGAGTACTTCCCACTTCCTTGCACCAACACAATTAACATGATGTCATCAATATAATAAATACTATGATGCTCTGTGGAACGTTAAGATACACAAAGTTCCTTCCTACTATACTGTGACAAAAACCTGAAGAGTTAAAATAACCTTGCAGCATGGAATATATTTTGCTGTCTTTTCTGCATAAATATCCTCTGCTTTGATCCTATTTCCAGATGGGAAAAGAAAACATTTGCCAGATCAACAACTGAAACCAGCATCGCAAAATTATAACTGAGACACTGAAAGAGATCTGACCTAACCGACTCCATCTTGCTTCTAACCTCCAAGCTATCCTTGTTCGTTCCTGGGTGTAGGCTGATCTAACTCTGGGAGAAACTTAGTTTACAATTGAGAACAAAGATGATAACAGCCCTCTCCCAAAACAAATCCTCTTCTTGCCTGGGGACTAGACTGCCTTTGTAAGACTAACAAATTAGCCAAAAGATTAAAAATTTTGGTTTAGGAGTCATGCAGCTGGAGACTACAAAATTCTGAACCTCCTCAAATTGCTCTTGGGGATAACATGACTCTTACAAAGCTAAGATCAGTGTTTGAGATATTTTGCAGACTCTGCACTCGATGGATCAGCTGGCACCACTCAGATCAATAAACTGGCTCATCTGATCTTGTAGCCCTCACCCAGGAGCCAACTCAGTGCAAGGCAGCTTCAACTCCCTGTGATTTCATCTCCGACCCAACCAGTCAGCACTCACAACTCATTGGCTGCCACCCACCCACCAAATTATCCTTAAAACATCTGATCCTCAAATGTATGGGGAAACTGATGTGAGTAATAACAAAACTCAGGTCTCCCTCACAGCCAGCTCTGTGTGAATTACTTTCTCTATCGCAATTCCCCTGTCTTGATAAATCAGCTCTGTCTAGGTAGTGGGCAAGGTGAACCCACTGGGCAGTTATGCAACCACATACCAAGTGCCAGAGGCTGGACCTGGACCTGTGATACTATGCTCTAATAAGATACTGCTTTGGGGGCTACCATTTGGCTCAGTTCATCATCACCCATCTTGATCCATCTGATTTTTTTCAGGGATGATAGCAGTAAACTGAATGGGAATATGATGGGAACCACCACTCCTGCATTCTTTAAATATTCAAAAATGGTATTAATTTCTGCAATTCCACCCAGGATATAATATTGCTCTGATTTATTGTCTTGGCTTGAGAAACAATCTCAGGGATGATAGGATTTTAGAATAGCAGAAGCCAAGTAGTTGCCTTAACCAATTGGCCCTTCCTACCCATAAAGGTTCTTACTCACAGGTCAGTGAAACAATATGAGCATTCTTCCAATTGCAAAGAATACCAATCCCAATTATGCCCAAGAGGACTGGGGAAATGATCACAGGTTGGATTTCTGGACCCATTGTACATATTGTTAGGTAGATCTGGGCCAAGACTCCACGTGTCTCCTCTGTAATCATGGAGCCATGAAAGCATTTTCAGATCCCCTGATACCAGCATCAGTTCAGATCCTATGTCCAAAAGCTCTCAAAAGTCTTCCTCTTTCTATAGCATACAATTACTCTGTTAAACAGCTACAGTTTCCTTTGAGTTAGGATTAATATAAGTATATTGTATATGCTTGCAGTGGCATTGAGGGGTCTTTCCTTAGGCAGACACAGCCTCTCCTCCAATTGGTGGTCTCTGATCACGAGAATTGACTAAGTTGGAAACTGGACTAGAGATTGCAGTTTTTCCAATATAGTAGCTGATATCAGTTTTCTTCACAGCAGCTCTTGATATTTTTTTCTGTGTGTATAAGCCAAGCAGTGTTCTAGCTCACCCTTTATCTCATTCACCCCAGGAAAAATAGAGTCTCTTAGACATTGCCACAGATCTGTGCAGGACTCAGTGCCCAGATGCAATTCTGGTCTTTCTGCCTGGCGTGATAATTACATTCACCATGATACTGATGGTTAAATGCTACTACCTGACCTCTGCTATTCTGGAATTACATCATCACAATTGACACTCTAGAACTCAGTTCCACACAGAACGGAGCCTTAGGCATCCAGCCATTGGGGTGTACCACTCCGATCTCCTTTAAAGGAAGAAATTGCCATGAGGAATGTAGTTATCTGACAGCCTCCAGCTGCCTCAACTTTGAGGTCTTTTGCAGCATTCACTCAAAGTCCACATAGTCCTGGTCAAAGACTAAACATGGCAAAGTTTCTAGAGCTGGTCCATTCTTGCTCATCATGGGATTCCTCTAATGGAAAAACTTTCCCCAAGGGCTCCCCACCAGCCTAGCCAAACTTTCTCTGGGACTCTTAGCTATTATGATGCTACTTCCACCAGGTTCTTGTTGCTATCTGGCTATTGAGTGATTCAGTCCCACTAAACAATGTCAACCTGATTGTCCTTCTTAGTTTTTAAGAAACAGGGTCTTGCTCTGCCACCCAGGTTGGAGCACAGTGGTGTGATCATAGCTCACTATAGCTTTCCAACTCCTCGGCCTTAGCAATCCTCCTGCCTCAGCCTCCCAAGGAGCTACGGCTGCAGGCATCCGCCACCACTTATTGAGAGCCACTTCCAGTACTCACTGTCTTGGACACAGACTCAAGTGAAAGTGCAGGTAGTTTATTTGGGAAATGATCTCAGGAAGCAGGTAATGAAGTAGGAGAGATAAACGAAAGGTTCTGTCTAGAAGCTCTGAAGGAGAAACTATCCCAGGTCCCTCTCCTAGCTTGTAGTGGCTGCAGGTAATCCTTGCTGATCTTGGGCTTATGGATCCATCACTTCAATCTCTGCCTGTGTCTTCACATGGCTTCTTCCCTGTGTATGTTTGTGTCTCTGTGTCCAAGTTTCCATCTTCCTATAAGGCACAAGTTATTGGATTAGGGACCATCCTAATTCAGTATGGCCTTATCTTAACTTGATTACATCTGCAAAGACTCGATTTCCAAATAAAGTCACATTCTGAGGTTCCTGCGAGACATGGATTTGGGGGAACACTCTTCAACCCAGTACAGGCTCCAAAGACAAATAACTAATCACATAGTTCTGTCCTTTTGGCCACATGGATATGTGGCTTCAGGGACCAACAGAGTAACTGTTATTATACACATTATCTTGTTATAATAACTGTTATTATGCACATTTATCATGATTTACATCATTGGATGAGTGAACAGTCGAAGTGTTCTCCTAACATGTGCCAGAGCCAAAGTACAATGGTAAACCAGGCCAAGAGCATTCTTTAGTTCAGTGATTTCCAAATCCTTTACCCACAGAATCCTTTGTTCAAATGACATTTTATTAGGGGTGTTCAGACAAACATAATGGATGAAAGCTGTTCTTGCAGAAACAGGGCTGGCAGGACCAGAGGCTCCCCACTCCTGGGTCAGATTATGCAGTAAGGAGCTTCACAGAATATGACTGGAAATCCACATACCCATTTTTCTGTTTAATTCAGGAAGCAGTTGCTAAACACAACTAACAGAGCAAAGTAAGTATGTAGGGCTAAGAGAAGAGGTAGAGAGAAGAACAAAATGAATTGAGGAAAGACTAGAAAGGAGATTGCTGTGGGCACTTTAAGTATTTGGATCCAAAAAGGAGAGGAACAGTCTGAGAATACCAATATGTGGCTTCCTGGAGATCCCAGAAGAAAAGGTAAAAGGATGAAGAGGAAAGGGAAGGAAGAAGCTACTTATACAATGATTTAAAGTGGTAGTTGGTGTTTTATGGCTTCTTGGATAAAGCTCTAAAGTTTCCGGAGTCAACTTCGAGTCAATTAGCTACACAGGGCAAGCATGTTTACACTGAATGCCTTAGAGATCTTCCCAAATAAGTAGATAAACAGAAGACTTGAGTCTCCAGCCTCATGAATCTAATACCTTTTGTGAGCATTTAGCTTGTATACAAAGCCAAATAAAAGCACTCTATCTAAATAAATCGATAATAATTTATATCTTCTGATCTCTCCAAAGAGAAATGTTTATATGTGGAGAAAATAAATAAATAACATGACGTTTAAAGGAATAAACAATTCTACCCCACAACACACAGGGCAAAGTGAGATACTAAGCCGTTCAATGAGTCTAGCGTCTTTACCAAAGAGGGAATGTATCTGTCAAGATGCCAATGGATTAAACTTTTCTAAGAAAACATTTTAATTTGTTGTCAGAAATAGTTTTATATCTAACTTATTGATTCTCACATGTTGAAACTAGCTGAGCCTAATAAGGAACTAAGTATAAGTTGGAAACCATTCGGCTATCAAAATACTGCTAAGTAGTATTACAACAATTTCATGAGAATGCCTGAGTAAGATATTTTGTTCAGCAAATGCTATGCCACCAATACCACCTCAATGACTAATTTCTTTCAGTGCAAGGTTCTCCTTGTACAGGCGACTCTTAATCTTTTTTGGATCATGGATCCCTTGGAAGTCTAGTGAAGAAATCTCTTCAATGCATTTTTTCATGCATAGAATTATATGAACACCAATTATATTAAAATATAGTTATTAAAATAATTTTTAAAAAACAAATCTGTGATGAGACAATATATGTTCTCTTTATTAACACATTAGATAATAAAATCTAGGTTTTTGTTTTTTGAGTTTTGCTTTTTGTTTTTTTTGTTTTTTGTTTTTTGTTTTGGCGGGGGGGTACCAAATCTTGCTCTGTCGCCCAAGCTGGAGTGCAGTGGTGCAATCTTGGCTCACTGCAACCTCTGCCTCCCGGGTTCAAGTGATTCTCCTGCCTCAGCCTCCCGAGTAGGTGGGATTACAGGCATGCACCACCACGCCTGGCTAATTTTTGTATTTTTAGTAGAGATGGGTTTCACCATGTTGGCCAGTCTGGGCTCTAACTTCTGACCTCAAGTTATCCACCCGCCTTGGCCTCCCAAAGTGCTGGGTTTACAGGCATGAGCGGCTGCCCCCGGCCTGAGCATAGATAGTATTTTGTGAGATTTGTCAGTAACTAATATGATTTGAATATATCTGTGATTTCTATTGGTGACAAAGTCATAGGTACTGCTAGTACCACTGTGATGTGTTTTTTATATTCATAACTGAAGCAAATGTTAATTTTAAGTTGGAAATGAATAAAAATAAAAATGCAATTTTTTTCCATCCACATACTTAGACCCCGTCTCTCACCCCCTCCATGAGGCTCTCTTTGATTTCAAAAGTTCTCCTTTTCTCAATGGCCATGAGGGGCAAGAGGCCTGGATGAAGAAATACCCTCAGAAACTCCCACTCTTCTGGTTCCTGCTCAAGGCTGCACTAATAAAAGTTATTCATACCTACCTGCACCATCTTGGCTGGGAAGTCCAGGTATAGCAGAAGACTGAGTGTCTGGGCTACCCCACCTGGCACCTGGGGAGGGAGGCTATTGACACCAGTATCAGAGATTCAAAGTAACAGAGATGGAAGGGAGGGTAGAATTTATCCGGTGTCTGTTAGGAAAGCACAGCGCAGGGCAGTAGTGAAGAGAGGGGCTTCACAGGCACTGCAACTGACCAAACCACTGCAGTCTCCCAAGTGGGGCAAGCACTGCAGTGGCCTGAATGTTTGTGTCCCACAAAATGCATATATTGAAGCTTTATCCCTACAGTGATGGTGTTAGGAGGTGCGACCTTTAGAAGCGATCAGGTCATGAGTGTGAAATCTTCATGAATGAGATTAGTGCCCCTATTAAAGGGACCCCAGAGATCTTTCTTGCTTTCTTTCCTCCATATGAAGACACAAGAAGAAGATAACAGCCTGCAATCCAGAAGAGGGCCCTCACCAGAACCTGCCATGCTGGCACCCAGACCACACTTCCAGCCTCTGGAACTGTGAGAAATAAGTTTCTGTTGTTTACAAGCCATGCAGTCTACTATAGTTTGTTAGAGCAGTGTGGACGAACTAAGTCAGGTACCCCAGGGTGTTTCATGTGCTATGTCGAGGGGCCAAACATGTGCATTTGTTCAATGTCTCACTTATGGGGGGCCACTTTGTGCTAGGCGCTGTGCAAGATGCTGAGAGTAGACACCTTGGCTCTCATGGATCTGGAGCCTGGCACCTTCACTGCAGTCTGGTGACTGCATGAAATGCCCAGAGTCCCTCTATCTGATATATAAAAAAAAGAACAGAGAAGCCAGACAGTCCACAGCAGGGTGTGGTGACTGATGCCTGTAATCCCAGCACTTTGGGAGGCCAAGGTGGGCAGATCACTTGAGGTCAGGAGTTTGAGACCAGCCTGGCCAACATGGTGACACCCCATCTGTACTAAAAACACAAAAATTAGCTGGGTGTGGTGGTGCACGCCAGGAGGGTGTGCTACTCAGGAGGGTGAGGCAGGAGAATTGCTTGAACCTGGGAGATGGAGGTTGCAGTGAGCCGAGATCATGCCACTGCACTCCAGCCTGGGTGACAGAGCAAGACTCCATCTCAAAAAAAAAAAAAGAAAAGAAAAAAAGAAAAGAATAGAGAATAAAGAAGACACAGTTGTTCCTAGAATAACTTCTGTTTATTTTCAGCCAACTGGGAACAAATAAAATCCAGGCCAAATTATTTTTGTCATTTAGCTTCAAAGACAGACAGCACTGCCATACATAACTCCAAAGATGTGTTGTCTTTGTCCCTGTGTGTCACGCTACTAGCAGCATAGAGGGCTTCCCTCACCGCTTATTCTGTTACCTAAAACCAAAGATTCCAGGGCTACAAGTGATCTTTAAAAATCATCTAGTTGGCTGGGCGTGGTGGCTCACGCCTGTAATCCCAGCGCTTTGGGAGGCTGAGATGGGTGGATCACCTGAGTTCAGAAGTTCAAGACCAGCCTGCCCAACATGGCGAAACCCCATCTCTACTAAAAATACAAAAAAGTACCTGGTCGTGATAGCAGGTGCCTATAATCCAAGCTACTTGGGAGGCCAAGGCAGGAGAATCGCGTGAACCTGGGAGGTGGAGGTTGCAGTCAGCCGAGATCACACCACTGCACTTCAGCCTGGGCGATAAGAGCAAAACTCCGTCTCAAAAAAAAAAAAAAAAAAAAAATCATCTAGTCCTACCCCCTCTCTTTCAAAAGAGAAAGCCAAATCCAAAAAGGTTAAATGAATTGCTAAAAGTTGAATCTCTAGCTAGGAGCTAGAATGCAAGTGCCCAGACCTTGTTGTAGTCCTGATGTTATATTGTCAATGGGATCTCTATGCTAATTTCAGCATTAAAAGCCTCCACACATGCACTGAATGGGTCCATCCACATACAGCAGCTGACTTACACATTTTCACTCAAGAGATCGTTGTTTCCCACTATCCTTTATAACAACTATTCCATGACAACTAAAGAATTAATGATAGATATAAAAGATAGAGTGAAGGTGATGGTTAACTTTTTTTTTTCGAGACAGAGTCTTACTTTGTCACCCAGGCTGGAGTGCAGTGGCACGATCTCAGCTTACTGCAACCTCTGCTTCCCGGGTTCAAGTGATTCTCCTGCCTCAGCCTCCCAAGCAGCTGGGACCACAGGTGTGCACCAACACACCAGGCTAATTTTTTTTATTTTTAGTAGAAATGGGGTTTCACCATGTTGGCCAGGCTGATCTTGAACTCCTGGCCTCATGCAATCTGCCTGCCTCTATCTCCCAAGGTACTGGGATTACAGGCGCGAGCCACTACACCCAGCCTAAATGTGATGGTTAATTTTATGTATCAACTTTACTGGGTCATTGGGTGCCCAGATATTTGGTCAAACGTTATTCTGGGTGTTTATGTGAGAGTGTTTTTTGGCGAGATTAACATTTAAATTGGTAGGCTGAGGAAAGATTACCCTCCCTAATGTGAGTGAGCCTCACCTAATCAGTTGAAGGGCCTGGTCAGAATAAG